CATGAGCAGTCAGTTTCTCCAGGAGAATGCTGTGGGAGACAGTGTCAAAGGCTTTACTAAAGCCTAGGTAGACATCATCCACTAAGCAGGTTACCTTGACATAGAAGATGATCAGGTTGGTCAAGCAGGACCTGCCTTTCATAAACCCATGCTGACTGGGCCTGATCCCTGGGTTGTCATTTACTTGCCATGTGATGGCACTCAAGATGAACTGCTCCATAATCTTCCCCGGCACCGAGGTCAGGCTGACAGGCCTGTAATTCCCCGGATCCTCCTTCCGGCCCTTCTTGTGGATGGGCATCACCTTTGCTAACCTCCAGTCAACTGGGACCTCCCCGGTTAGCCAGGACTGCTGATAAATGATGGAAAGTGGCTTGGTGAGCACTTCCACCAGCTCCCTCAGTACCCTTGGGTGGATCCCATCCGGCCTCGTAGACTTGTGTGTGTCAAGTCACACAGTCTGCATTTATCATGATTAGACATTAATTTAGCACTTTACCTAGTACCATGTATAATCTTTGTGGACGCAGTCTGTTTTACTACTGTGATAGGCCACCACATCATGTAATCTGGCTTTTGAGCTTACTGACCTTCACCCTGAAAGCAGGTAGGTTCATCATGCTGCCCATTTCTCTTGGGAAGCAGTTGTATATATCTCCTCATCAGTGAGAAGCTTTCCTCTTAATTCTAGCCCGCGCTTATTTAGGGTTAGCTTACATCTATTTATTCTTTTGTCAGTATTATCTTGCAGTTCAAATAGCTCCCTTTTGTCCTTGGCATTTACCCATGGTATATTTACCGAGCGCGGTTTTATTCCATCCAGCCGTTGTTTTGTTAGGCTAGGTAAGCTAAGCAATTTTTTTCCCTTCTGATGTCGTAAGCTCCCATTCATCACTCCCATCTGAGTGATGTTTCTCTGCACCTGATGTGCTTTCTCTTTTCTTTTATTGGTAACTGGAGAACAGTGTATTCTACTACTGGCTTGCATGAAGACATTACTATTTTCCCTGCCTCTACTGGAAATAAATTTAGGGGGTTTGGTGCCTACAGTGATTGCTTATGGTCAGTCACTGTGCGATCTTAATTCACTTTTCTGCCTCTTCAAGTAGATTAATCCTACATTTGGTATAAGGATTCATATTCGCATTGAAAGGCGTGTTCTTGGCTATCGTATTTAATCCCATTCCTGTCATTTCAGTCTGCGAGTTCATTCATTTCTTCCTCTCATGATCTAGTCCTCCCTTCTGTTGACAGACATGCTGAAGGTAAAATGCTGAGAAGCAGTCTTTGGTCTAAAAGAAAAGAAAAATTTTTCTAAAGAAAAATAAGATCACTTCCTGGTCCTGCAAATTCTCCACTCTCTGGTTTTCCCAAGGAGGTCTGCTGCATTATTTTTTTTCCTTTTTTTAAAAAAAGAAAATCTGGTAAAAAAAAAAAAGATTAGGTTTCTTTACAGTTCAACTATTTTCCTATTTTCAACTTCCATATCTATTTGCTTCAAAACTTGTTTCACTTCTTTGTTTGTTAATTAACTTTAGCGTTATGGGTCTGTAGTTGTGTCACCTTTTTCTTCTTTCTTGGTATTGTTTGCTAATCTCTGTGCATATCCCACTGCTGTTTTTTGATGGAATTAGTAAAAATCCCTTTTAATGAATTTATAAGTTATTCTATGTGAGGATAATTGTTTGCTAACTCTGTGCATATCCCACTGCTGTTTTTTGATGGAATTAGTAAAAATCCCTTTTAATGAATTTATAAGTTATTCTATGTGAGGATAATCCTGTAAAGACTAGCTAGACTTCTATGAAATACGCACTCCTACGGACCTTGGGTTTGAAAGAGGCCTTGTAGTTTTTGTTCTTGAAAGAAGTAATTTTGCTAGCAGCATGCCAGAGGACTTCATTGTTCCCCTGCCCCCATTTCCCATTTCAAAAAATTTGCACAACTTTCAATAAGTATGTTTTGCAAATAGGCTTGCCTAATCACACTATAAATGTTCTGAATAATGTGGGCCAAAAAGTGCCAAGAAGGAGTGGCAGGAATTTACAGCTAGATTAGGTCCGCGGTATTTCCTCTCTCAGCAAGATGGTCCTAGATTAAATCCTCGTAAATTTTCAATAATTTAACACAATTGTAGCTTTACAGGAAGTGTTGAAACCTTCGCTTCCCTACAGAAGAATCTCTTTTCTGCATTCTTGCATCCATCTGAAGTTTGTTGTCCTCCTGCAAATCTCTTCGAAAGTCACGTGCCTTCCCAGGTGCGGATAAACATCATGGTGTTTCTTTTGTTTGGCATTTTCGTATTTGAATTTTTGCCAGGTTTTTGACAGTTTCATAACGAAGTGACCTTGAACACTGATATTTATATAATGCCTAATAACTACTCTTGAAAATGGGCATAGTTGAGAACTCCTTCAGGAAGCAGAAGATTCTCTATCCAGACTATATAGCCTTTACTCTACTTTTTGAGGCTGGATGACATCTTTGCACGATTTGTGGGAGGACGTGGTAATGGTCAGTGTACCACACAATACTGAGTTTCAGTGAATTTCTTCCAAACCTGGTCTCCGCTGAAAGTGAATCACTGCCCATTGCAACACTGTGGGAATGTTGTAAAAGGTTAATGATTCCCAAAGAATTTAAGCATGAAAAAGGCCTTTTATATTGGTATAAACTTGTATGTCTTTGCAGAGCTGTTTTGATTTCAGCTGGGCTTCTTTTACATGGAGGAACTTACTACAGAGCTGACTAGAAGAGTAGGATCTCTGGCACATCTCTGTTTTGCTTGTTATAACTTGGTGAAATTCATGGTTGTGCAGGAGATGATGTTAAATCAATAAGGAAGTGATTTAAAGAAGATAAAAATCAGATGTGTTTTTTATCTGGTCGAGAAGACTGTCTCAAACTGAGATTTGAATCTACTTTGTGAGAATTTAGAAGAGCTAACTTGTTAAAGGTAACTGGGTACACTTCTGCTTCATGTGTTCTGAAATAACCTTTCTTCCATTTGGGTTTGAATTTTCTGTAAACCTGTAAAGAATGGATCTTTGTTCCCAGAAGTGCTGTAATACTTTGGGGTTGTATGATCATAGTTTGGCTGTTTTCACTTTTCTTTGGGATGGATCTTGGGAAGTAGGACTCCTGAAAAATAGGTGCTTGAATTAGGGGAGTGATTCAGACGTGGCCTGCTCACTCTTTTTCTTTGTTTTAGGAAGTGAAACTCTTCTGAGCTTTTCTGTTGAATAAAAAAGCCAGAAATAGGTTTTTTTGGTCTCTCCATAGCCTCATACGTTGTACTTTTCATTGAGATATTTGGAAATTAGAGTTTTAATTTTGTATATGTTTAGCTGATGGCATGTGAAAGTGTGCAGTTTACTTTCTGTAAGCAATGTTCTGCCTTTTTTAATAGATTTGCTCTTTTTCCCAAATTTCATGTCATTTTATTCCCATTACATAACCTTTATTCTCACGTTTATGATTTGTGGTTAGGCTAAAAAGCTGAATCTGCATCCCTTCTGCTGAGAAACGTACCATTTCCTTATGCTTCACTTAAACTTCTCAATATTTCATTGTACTTTTGCATAGGCCAGGACAGTTTGGAAAAAAACCATCTAAATCAGACTGGGAGAGTGGTCTTAAAGAAAACAAAAAGAAAGATTCCTTCATCTTCCCCAGTGCTGGAAGAGTCGTCATGCCCCCTGGTGTGAGAGCTGGGCTCTTGGCTTGTTCTTGCTTTCCCTGCTCTCTGCAACACGTGTCATTTCTTTGCGTTGCATCCCAGCTTCAGCAGGAGGGATGGAGAGCAGTGGTGTCTTGCCGATGTTCAGGCTCTTGATAAGCTTTGACAGTTGCCTATCACGCTGATCAGTAGAGGCTTCTGACTTTTTGCTATTCCTTATCGTACCCTCTTACGGTCTTTGGTCTTACGTTGTGATCTGTAGCATCCCGTCCGGCTTGTTCTGCGTGTGCGCAGTGACTAGCACACTAATAGTAAAGATTGAACTGGTTTCATTTGGGAACGAGTCACTCGGTGACCTTAAAGTATCTGAAGGGAGTGTGGAGGAGAGAGTTCCAAGAATAGGTTTAAGAAAATTGAAAAACAAACAAACAGTTCTTTTAAAATACCAGGCTTGAACTATTTGGGGCTTATGTGTCCTTAAGGAATGGAGTTTTAATTCATGAGCTGTGCAGTCAAGGTAAACCTATTTTTCTGCCTCCTGCCAAGAAAGTAAGCACCATCTAAGTCAAACTTTGTAGTTACATTAGTATTTTATTACTATCCATACATGTGAAAAAAGACAAAAGAGTTAAAATGTTCTCAGCCTTCAAGTAGTTAACTGTGTTGTACCAAAATTTAACTTTGTATTATGTGTGACTTCCGAAAAGGTGTAGCTTTCTGGATGAAAACTGTTGAACCTGTCTTTAATGAGTGAATGCAGCTTTATTTACTTGAAGTGCACGGTACCCAGTTCTAAATCTCTGCTTTTGATTTCTGTCCTACAGGGAACACAGTGAGTAACCTGATTTTCATTCTACCTCCAATCTATGGTGCGATTCAGACCTATAAAGATGGACTTGAAAAACGGTATTTAGCTGCGTATTTGTGTCTTACAGGTAGGTGTAAAACTTAATTTGTTCTTTCATTATAAAGAGAGCTCAGATGTGCAGTGAGCAATATCCAAATATTAATAAGCCAAGTAGTTAAATCCAAATACTATGTGTGTGAAACGTAAACCTCAATTTGTTATACTTTTTAATGTTTACAGAAAATTTATATTTGTTGGAAGGACATGAAGTTAGAATTCACTGCATAACTTTATGAGATTTTAAAGTGATCCTTTTCTGGCTTAAATCCTGCTCAGTGCATCTTAGCTTACCTGTGGCCTTTTATGATGATTTACAGAAGATGTCTTGTGTGTCCTACTTCGAAAGTTTCACTCTATATTGATATTTTTGTGACATTTGTATGAAACAGTAATACAAGAAATGGCCAAGATCTTGAAGGAACTGGAAAAGCAGTCTGTCATGAGTTTGAATTTGTTTTCAGTTCCTCCTTGGCATATATCACCCAACCACCTAACTGCCATCGTATCTGGGAAGTTTTGCAAGGATGGAAGAACGATTTGACATTCGTGCATAGGTGAACTTAAGGGCAGTCAGTTTCTTCTAAAATAGCAAAATCTAGAACAGAACCAGCTTCCTTTAAAACACTAATTATGCAACTAGAAGTCATGTTCCTTATGAGAAAAGAAGATGTTTGAAGATGGTTCAGATTTGGCAGTTGGGTCTCGAAGCGGATTTCACAGAATTTCTGTGTTTCGCAGCATTTCTATGTTTGCTATAGCTCCTATCTCTGTGGAGGCTGTCTTTCCCAGTCTTCCCGGTGGTAAGAGATTGGTTTATTGTAAATGTTACTTTTAAGATTGGCATACTTATGTATTTAGAGAAACATTGTCGAAAACCACATATCCATATGCTAAATGTATTCTTGATGCCAATTAAACTGTGACATACACTAGGTACAACTTCATGGTTTTTCAGTTACATCAGCTTTGCTGATATGTGTGAAAGATAAGCAGCAACAATGTACAGCTTCGAATGTTGTCTGAACGCTTTCCAAATAGCCATTTGTAGGCTTTTTATGGTTTTGAGTAATTACTCATTTTTGTCTCAGTATAAAATAGTTTGGCAGAAGGAATTCTTGAAGGTCAGGGTTTCCTTTTAAAAAGACAGGGAATGAAACAGTGTGTAAGCATTTGCTGAAGTTGACGGTTTGCATATTCTTGAATCAAAGTATCCTATACTGCCATTCTTTCTAAATGAAAAAAAAAAAGTAAAACTCTGTGTTTGAGACTCAGTCTTCACCGTAACTTGTGGCTACCTCTCTCAGTGACACTTCATGATGGACAAAGTGTGCCGCTATCTGACCAGAATGTCGGGCTGTCGCACCAAGACTGCCCTGAGTGGGCAATTCTCATATACTGTTTAATGTTTAAAATGTTTAAAACAAACAAAAGAAGTCTGTCTTTGATCACAATAAATACCATGGACTTCAGTTTTATACTGTTCTTGGTGTTCACGAAGGGGAGCTCAGCCTGCGTATTTGACAGCAGTGCTGGAGGGCAGTCCTGAGTTCCTGCTGGGCTCTGCTCATCTGTGACTGGGATGCCTTTGACTCCTGTCTGAAGTGATAAATGCTTGCATGGCTTGATTTTTATCTCATATGTTGCACCTAACATTAAAGGTCACTCCCAAAACGTTTCTCTTCTGTTTTGTCTCTGCTTCAGTATTCGTAATGCTGGACTGTTTTACAGCAGTTGAAAGATGTAAAGGAATATAGAAGGCTTTATAGTTTCTCAGTGAAAAACAGGAACAGGATGGTTTGGAATCACAAACCTCTTAACATTTGTTCTACTACAGAATAAAAGCAGCAAATGAGAAGATAAACAGAATTTTAAATACAGTTGAAATGTGCCAAGAACATTGGCATTCTCTCTGTGCATGTGACTGAATGAGAACCATACTGAAGTGGAGATAGAGTAAGTGTACAGAGATTTCTTTTTGTAAGAAAGTACCACAGAGAATTCTTTCCCTTACAGTAATTTTATTTATTAACAGATTTCACTCTACTTACTTAATTTGTAACAAACAAGTATAGACTTAATCTGTAAAGGGAAAATGAATTTAACACAAACTTCTGATTTCACTTCGGGCACCGTGCTTCATAAAGACCATATAGCAGAGCTTCTAACTAGCGAGTAGGGTCTAAGGGTTGTTTTGTTGAAGTAGAAATGCTTTAACAATTCTGCTATGAAGATGGGGGTGGAACGGAGGGCACTTCAGTTAGGTTTTAACAACTTTGAATCATTACTGAGATTTTACAAGATGTTAAAAGACAGCTGTCAAAGCGGACATTAAAATTAAATCTGTTAGCATTTGAGAACAGAGGAAGTGTTGTTTCTAGACATTATTTTGATCCAAATCAGCTGTTTCTTTTGGATGCTTCCAGACATTTAGCTGATTGTCAGTTCCTTTGTGTTTTACCACGCCGCGTTCAGTGCTTCACTTTATACCCCACAACTTCTTTTGTTGGCATTTATTTCCTCTTTGAACCAAATGCATTTTGAATTAGGAAAGCACTGTTAGTTCCACATACATGCTAAAATCCACAGTTGGCAGGACAAGAAGGGGGATTTCTAAATAACTGTTCAAATACATTTCTTGTTCATACTGGTGCCGAGACTGAGTTGCGCTTTTCAGCAAGTTCTTTGAGATATAGCACACTGTTCTCAGCTCTCATTTCTGCTGCCTTACAGTTCAAAGGGCATGTCGTCAATGAACTCAATAGGAACCGGATATGATTTTTAAGCTTTAGGGAATTATTTAATCAACCTATAAATTATGAAGAACAATCTTAAGCAATTACTTTAGCATGTTGCATCTCACAAAGTAGGTGGAACAAATCATCAGACCGTCACTACCTCGAAGAATAAGCAGGTTTTTTTGGATGGTTCCTTATGATGCTGTGGTATTGTATCAGATTCTACCATATGTCATTTCCTCATGCGTCCTGGGAAACTATGATTCCCAAATGGTTCATCTTCTAGAAGGGTCTCAATTTAAAAAAAAATAGAGAGTGTAACTGTTTTGGACCTAAGAAGATAAGAAAAAGCAGTCAATGGAGTCATACTTTATTAGATGCTTTACTTGTAATTTGGAAGGATTGTTCTGTTTGTATTTCTTTGGCCTGTTCAGGGATCAGTTATTCAAGCTGTGCCAAAGGTGGAGGAAAAAAAGGATGCAAAAAGATTTCTACGTTAGACATAGCCATAGGAACTGTAACTGTTTTGGACCTAAGAAGATAAGAAAAAGCAGTCAATGGAGTCATACTTTATTAGATGCTTTACTTGTAATTTGGAAGGATTGTTCTGTTTTGTATTTCTTTGGCCTGTTCAGGGATCAGTTATTCAAGCTGTGCCAAAGTGGAGGAAAAAAAGGATGCAAAAAGATTTCTACGTTAGACATAGCCATAGGAACTCGTAAACAACCTACTAAATTTCATTTCCAGTGAAACTCTGTATCTGTGAAAATAGCTGTTAGAAGCCCTTCAGTCAAAGTTAATACCTTTATTCTTACCTAACAGCCATAGAGAAGGTGCTTAGGCCACGTCGTTGTTAGTAAATCAAATGCGCTTGGGAACATTCCTGACTGCTGAAGCCAACAAGTGTGGAACAGCCCGTGTCTGTTCATCTTAGCCTCCAAAACAAGGTGACCGCATACAAATTCCCTGCTGGGCACAGGTCCTGGACTCTTCTGGCTGCTGGGCTGTGCCTGGGAGCTGCTCGGGAAAAGTGCTAGTTGGAACAGGCCAGATTCACGCCGCAGACTGTTCTAACAATTCACTAGCGCAGACGGTTGCATTATAGCGTCTGGGAACAGTCCCAGCCATGCTCGAGTTTACTTGTAGAGCTGTACCCTTGGAGTAACCAAGGTCTCTCCTGTCTCTTACGCTGTGGGGGGAAACCATTACAAAACAAAATAATTCAATAAAAATTGTTCATTTAATTCTATTTTTTCATCTTGTTTCATTCTTTGACTGTTTATGATGCAGTATGTTGTTTATCTTCAGTTCTATCATTGTAAGAAACCATAGGTGGAATTCAGCTCCAGATTCAAACACCTAAACGTTTGTCTGCCTGTACAGAGGGGTCTGTCTCCCATTGCAGTCAGTAAAGCCTAGAGAATCATTTTGGCTCATCCTAAAATATTCCCTTATATTTGGCCAGCTGAAATACTCTTTATAATGCATTCTCTTTAGTGGAAGCTTTGACACCTGGCTTATGTGTAGATGCCTAAATAAAGGTGTTTGCATCTGGAGCATCCTTCCTTCAGAATGTTTTCATGCAGTGCCTGTACAGTTTAAATTCAAACCACGTCTATGAAATCCTAATAAACTGCTTTTTCTGTAAAGACTTTGGACTTATGATAAGAATTTTGAATGCTGATGGATAGTCTTATATCGAAATGAATTATCGCTGATTATGTGATACTTCTGATTATTCCTAAAACTATTGAAAAATTCGTAGGGGATATTTGTGTCCTCTAGGATTAAAATCCTGAGAGTTTATATGGTTCATATATGGAGCTGGATCTCGTGTATAATATCAGATTATTTCTAGCATGGATATTGCCTTGAAGTCTTTGACGGTGTTGAAGCACGGTGAAATAACTGTGTATGAAGTAAAGTTTGCAGATGCATTGCTTTTACATCATCACTAACACAACTATTTTATCAACTGGCAGTAACCACACATTGTGTTTGCTGCAGGACAAAAAAGACCATGTTAGTCTACATATAGCAGCTAACCTGACTTTGCATTTCCAGTCTTTTTAAGTGCTATTCTGATCTCATAATATTGTGACTCAATGTGTATTCTGTGCTTAATACGTGATTTATGTATATCCCCTATAACTTGAGAGGTTCGTTGATGTAACCCCTGCTTACAAGGTGAGCAAATCTGTTGCTCAGTTTGTCAATGGCTGTACGGGGAAGTGGCTTCTGTTGAAAATTGGTGTAATTGCAGTGATCGTGTTCACTCATATTTTGAAAACTACAAAGCTGGTAGAACGTCTCATTGCAGTGACAGTTTCTGTGAAGTAAATATTCCTTAGAAATGTCGTGATCCTGAAGTTACGTGATGAGAAGTATGTCTAAAGATAGCTGCATTCCTGTAGAACCGCAGGTAGAAGCTACATGTGGAGACATTTGAGCTTAAGTATTAAACCACTATTTACTGGAGACAAATACACGTCAAGCCCCTTGTACGTTTACAAGTTAGACTTTAAGTGTGACAAAAAGGTAGTGTGCTCTGGGCATAGCAAAGGAAATAAAGATTTCCTTGCGAACCTTGGCACGTGATAGGTGTTTCCTCTTTTTACTTTGCAATGTTTTCAGCACCGAACACTAACCCTGCATTAAGCCACAAGACAGCAACTCCGACTAGCACAGCTCTTGGCCCAGTGAGTGCCGTATTAGATATTAGTTCCCTTCTGCTGAATTTTACCGGTTATATCGTGGTGTTAGTGAAGCGGAGTACGGCATATGCTTCAGCTGCTACAGTTCAGTTCATCATCTCTTAATGCAGTTTCTTTCTTCCTCCTTTTTGAACAGATTCGTGAAGCTTTTTGCACAGTTCTGTGTTAAGATAGAACGTATGCCGAAGGTAGCAAATGAGAAACGTGGTTCTTAGCTCATTCGATGTCTAGATGTAAAACATTTTTAAGTTATCCCTCTGCAATGTAAAACATCCCTTTTTAAGTTATCCTTCTGCCATAAGCAGGTATAAATGGGATACACAAAGAATCATAGTTTTGTTCTTCAGTCTTCATTTAAAACATCTCTTCAAAAAGATGCTATTGTGCATGGTTACCACAATAGTGTTTGAGGAGATGTTGTCTGTGCAGTCTTGAGAGGGAGAGTGTCATGTGATGAGTAATCTAGTCATATAATTTCTATAGTCATGTAACACCCTGGGTTTCTTGCTGAATGCACTTAAATACCAAACAGACTTGACCGTGTTCATGAGCTCTGTGAAGATTGCAGCAAGCAGTATTACAGCAATTTCCAGTAGAGGTTTTTATTTTAGGAAGGACCGTATGATGAGTCCCTGTAAACATTTCTTGTTTCGGATACCTATTTTATTGCTACACAATATAGCTAAAGCATCGTTCTCCAATGCCTAGTAAAATTTCATAATCAAAGAAACTCTAAGTGTGATCATGACACAGAAGCAAGAGGCTTTTTTATTATTTTTAGAAATTAATTGTAGTCGTGGGATTAATGACCTGAAACACTAATATCTGCAGCATTCTTGATTTTTGCAAAGGCTAGAAAGGAAAAATATAATCTAGAAATAACTGCTTCTAATCATACAGGAGGAAGGGGAGGAGTTCAGGAGCTGATTGTTGAGATTTATTCACCCCGATTTAATTTAAAATCAGTTGAAATTTCTCATGCAATGATTTTGCCCATATTTGAAAATTACACTTGTTACAAATTGTAAGAGTTTGTATCATGAAGATACTGAAATCACTGTGACAGCCAGGATAATGGATGGGACTGTTTTAATGATGATCTCAATGTTTTGGTTTTTTTCTTCAGAATGAACAGTAATAGTAATACATTCTGAATACATAGAAAAATGACTATGAGAATTTCTTATTAAAATCTCAATGAAGGTGAAAAACAGTTGTTGCTTATATTTTGGAAAGATTTTTCGAAGTAAAACAATCAGAACTTACAGAAGTGCATATGGTTGTTTATCTTCTGGTAGACAGCCATGCTTAATTTTCCCAGAGAATTAATAGCATTAAAGTATTTGGCAATACGTTTTTAAATGCAGCTGTATTACAGTTCTATGTTTCAGTAAAGTTACATGCTTAGGTATTTCATTTCATTGAGTACGTGTAACAATCACAATTCTAGTCTAATAGCATCTAAAGAAACATCTCCAGACATGTCTATCAGCTGTCTTGGGAATCCTTCACCAAATGCCCAGTTTGTTAGATAGAGGTCTGTTTATGCATCAGTGAAATCTAGCGGTTGTGTGTAGAAAAGGTTACGCTCTTCCAGCAAAGCACAGCAGCACTACCCAGTGATCAAGGCTTGAGTGCAAATTACTTGGCTTTCTCTGAAACTAGACTCTGAGGTGAAACGGAATTTCCTGAAGGAAGACAAGACATCGCATTAATGTACGTGTTCTTGCAAAATAAAAATGTGCTGGTGCTTAGAGTGTTTAACTGATAACATTTGAAAGTAATGAATGATACATTAAACAATCTACCAGCTTTGCTCTAAACAGTGAAATCTAACTTCCAAGAAACATTGTCCTTGTCTAACTGAAAAAGCTGTGTATAGGCAAGGTATATATCTCATAAATCAATTTCAGAAGTGAATTCAGAGTTTAAAGATGAAGTATTTCAAATCAATAAAAATCATTACATAGAAGGATGAGCTTCCAAGAAGAAGGCTCGGAAATGGTGATCTCATTTCACAAAACAAATCCATACCGCGTAGGTTTTGTTTGTTTACCCTGAATTTCTAGTTCTGAGTTCTAGTAGCAATTCATTTCTGCTTCTAGAGCTGACAAAAAGCTCCCTGTAAAATTTACCTTTTAAAACTGGACGATAAGCAGAAATATCACAGGCTTTCAGGAGTATTAGTAGTTGAATGATGCTTTGCGTTATAGAAGGATTGAGACAGATAAATCTTAACGTACTTAAAAAAGAAAAAAAGAAGAGAAATAGAATGATAATGTTCCATTCATTCTGGGTTCCCTCCACTCCTATCCTCACTGAGATTACGCCAGTTCATAGGAGACAGTATTGAGAGGAGGGAAAGAGGACACCCACTCCTCAAAAAACATAAATTCAAGGACATCACTGGTGACTAAAGTGTAAAGTAGAAGGCTGTGGAAAATTGGGGGTTTGTCCCTGAAATGGAATGCTGATGTTCTAATTTTTTTTTTTTCCCCAGTAAAGTTCATGCGTTTAAGTTGATGTACCTGAAAGTTTTACATGTAGACTTTTATGTTAACCATAGTTTTGATTTGTTTTCAGCTGTGGGATTGGGATCTTGGTGCTTCCACATGACCCTGAAGTATGAAATGCAGGTGAGTATTGATAAGTAGCTGTGAATCATTTTATGTGTGTATCTCACTATATAGTCATATTGCCATTTCTTGACTAGATGAAACTCATATAACATGAGTTAATCTACCTTAAGTATCATTGTACATGACTCCTGCTCTCAACAAAAGAGTAGTGCAGGTCTTGTTTCATTAGATATTTTCTACTGATAGATATACAGGAATATATACTTGCATCTAAAATAAGATTGCTATCTAAAATCAATTGCTTATGTTGGTAGAAGACACTTTATCCTTTGGGAAATCATACTATCTTTTTACGTGAGTTGTTATTTTAAAATTCCTACAGCTTTGGCTTAATAGCAAGCAGTATACTCTAGAGTTATTGCTGTTCATTGTATTCCTTTTTTCATCTTAATGTTTTCTATTATGCTTTCTGTTTATCTAGATGTACCTGTAGCGTTAATACTGAAGTCAGTATCTTCTGAGTAGCAATGGTTGAGTCTTCCTCCCTTTCTCTTACTCTCAGGTAGAAGGCATTCTGTAATAAATCACTGGGCACAAGGATTTGGTCCTGGTATTTCCCATTTTCTAAAGGGACACAAGGAGTCTTGTCCTGTTGTCCCGTTTTAGGTCTGAGAAGTTTAAGGAAATTCATCTTTGAATCAAAGTCAGGGTGAAAAGGGATTCAGTTCGAAATTAAGAAACCTACATTTAAAAGTGTGTGCTGGAAGCCTGTGCTCCCATCGTAGTCAATGGAAATACAGTTAAGTCAGTGGAGTTTAGCGAGCCAGTCAGCTGGGCTGAATCAGTCTTAACTCGAATAATACTTGTTTGTCTGACTATAGGTGTTTAGTGTCATTTTAGACCCCGTGAGTGTTCTGTCTGGCTTCCAGCTGCCATCCCACAAAGGTGCAGGTCTCTCAGACCCCCCTGTCACATCTGCCAGTCTTGGGTGGGTGTATTGGAGATGACAGAGCGCCTCAGATGGCATTAGGCGCCTATGCCGAGGCAACTGAATTGACTTCTGGATTTCTACTGATCATAATGGGACCTGAGACACTGCACACGTGGACACCAAAAGTTAGGCGTCTTAAACTTGAACTGAATTACAATCTGTAGTGATGTTTGCCTCCATAATGCTCTCTTTTACATCTCTGGCATGTGCTGGAGACTGTCAGCCTCCATGGAGCATACTGTTGCCACCACGTAAGAATATTTGGTGCTTTTCTTGGCATGAAAAAGGGGGTTTCTAGATCCATTTCATCACTCCCTCCCAAACTGAGGTGTGTTGTACCTGTATTCTCTTCAGTGGTGAAACTGCCTTGAATTGCCACGTTTTCACCTCTCTTCCCTCAGCTGCTTGTTCCTAACCCTGCCAATGTTTCAAATCCTCTTTCTTACACTAATGCAGAGGTGAACAAAGCCACCCTGAAACCCAGATCATTAAAATGATCCAGGCCTAAAACATTATGTGCAGGGCTTTGGGGGGTTTTGGGTTTTTTTGTGTGCGTGTGGAGGCTATTTTAATCCAAGTCACTTTGATGCTACTTACCATGTAGTTCTGGTGTTGCATCAGAACAACTCAGGGGCCTATGAACTGTGGTAAGTAAAGGCTGGGCAGAAGCAGATGAGAGGGGAGCAGGAATGTCTTGCATCATCTTTCCAACTGGTGTAAAAGGCTTTGTGTGAGGCAGAGAAAGTACACATTATTTTGGCAGCCAAGTGAAATCCACAAGTGGCCCATAATTACTCTGATTGCTAGCTCACGAATCACCATAGAGGAAACATTTCAACCAGTAAATAATCTTTTCTTGTTCACTTTATCGCTTGTTATGATTAAAAGTCAGCATTGATAGCTGTTCGAAGAGATTTTTTTTTTTTTACATTTGTTTCACAATCTTAGTACTGTAAATGGTCAATTCAGATTGCTTAATTAAGAGAAATGTGAAAGCTTCTGTTCTTGAAAGCAGTTATTTAGAATACTTCTGAAGCGATCACCTCTCTTTTTCTCTTATTTTTATGGGAATCTGCTTGATTGTGCGTTCCTCAAGAATCCAAAATGCTTCTTTAACCAGCGAAATCAGCTCTCCGAGTTTCCTTCTATCCATGTTTCTTCATTGTTCAGACACGCTAGTGACAGTATTTCTGGAAGCATTAATTCCTTTGGATACAGAAGCCATTGTCTTCTGCAAGCAGATTCTAACTAGGATCTTTCGAGAGGCTCTTTGATGTTATCGTTATGTCCCTGAGATGCTGCCAGCATATGAACTTAGGAGTGTAATCAGCTGTCCATATTTGAAAAGTTTTGCTGTATTGTATTTCTTATTCTTGTTTCCCCCCCTGTTTCTTTTATGAGGCCTTAAATGACTCAGGCTCTTAGAGAGCTGCATGAATTAATCCTGCAGCTAATTCCTATCAGACTTGGTAAAGCATATCACTGAACTTACAAATAAAAACTATTAGTATAAAGCTGAATTCAGCTGTTGCTTCTATTTTTTTCCTCTCTAAGGCATCACAGCAAAGATAAACTAATGTGGTGGCAAGGTGCCACTGAACACGCCTGTTAGGTTCAGCTGCCATCTATGTTCCTGATACTTACTTTGTGCTACCTATTGCAGTCCCTGACCCTATAATGCACGGATTCAGGGATTTAAACCTTTTTCTGCAAGGTTAGTTGCGTGCCATTGGAACTGGCTCACCGTGGGTCAGACGAGCAAGACTGCCTCATTTGAGAGAAGCAGTGGGAGTTTGGGTGAGGAAGCAAGACCTGCCCTTTCAGTGGCAGCTAGTCAGTAGATCTGTTTAGCAGTATTGTGAAACATTTCCTGAAGTTTCTACGACCAAACCCACGAAAAGCTAATAGTTCACACTCAGGATGATACATCTGTCTCCTTCTGTAAAGAACTAGATCACTTTTTTCCCCAATATGAAATTTCAAAACTAAAAGAAGGTTTTTGCCTGTGCAGTTAGAAAAATTCTCCCAAACCAAGCAGAATCAGGCTGGCTTTATAGAAGTGTTTGTGTAAGCTGCTGTGGCTCTTAATGTGTCTCATTGTTCAGAAAAACATGGTTGTGAACTTGTTAAGTACCCTGTACCAGTAGTAGGAAGGTAATTTCTGTACAGGCATGGCCATCAACAACTTTCAGGCTGATGATGGGAAAAGATCAAAATCTTGTTTGCATCCAGTTCTTGTTTTTCTTAGGAAAGAGTCAAACCTGGTATATCAATTCTAAGATGCCTAACTATTAACATTTGCTTAGCATATTAGAAATTAGAGGCAGTGGATGTTCATTTGTATGCTTTCGCATTTTCATGATTTTCAGTCCTTCATAAGAAGAGGTAAGTTTACCTATATATTTATGAGCAGAAATTTGTTAATGTTCTTTGAGAAAAGTTCTAGAAGAAAATGATGCTATGCTTCCCCCCCCCCCAGTGATAAATGGCAATTTTGAGCGTACCTGTTCTTGAGAAATCACCTCTCTTGTGATTACTATTTTAGTTCCATCTCCGTTAAGGTGGCAGGTTCCTGGAGAAATAACTGTTTTAGCTGTAACACGCCAGTCTTCTCCCAAAGTATAAAATTATTTAAGACAATAAAACAGTATATGGCGGTCATAATTTGGGGGAAAAAAAAAAAAACAACAAAAACCCCACAACAAACAAACAAACCAAAAAAAAACCATTTCTGAATTCAAACAATGCAAGAAATTTCCAAAATTAGGAAGTAAACATGCAGGCACATCGCAAGGGACTTCCTAATGGGCTAAAGTTCTATTTTATGTTACGGAAAAAATTTATTTCGGTTTCTCTGTGAAATTTGTGCAGAAGTAAGAAAACGCTACTACCTGTATTGAGAAAGCTATAAATGGGGTGGTCTTATTCAATCTGACTTTACGGAACTAATTCTTATGAATGTTTCAAGAGGTATGAACAGCAAACGGCATGATTCTTTGAAGGCGCGGGCTTTTTATGAAACATAATATTCAAAAGATTCAGAGTAATAAGCTTATTAATGCAGCAAGCTTTCACTAGTTGAGTAGGATTTGACACTGCTGCATCCTGAAGTACAGTCAAGAAGGTGGATATCCAAATGACTTAAAAACTCCTGTTTTCTTAAGACTTATCTCTCCTTAATTAACTTACACAAGCGTGCGAGTTAAAAGTAGTTTTCATGTTTTGATGTCTCTGCTTTTTGTAGCTGTTGGATGAACTGCCAATGATATACAGTTGTTGTGTGTTTGTCTACTGCCTGTAAGTATTTGTTAAATGTTTTTTTCTGAATATTTATGAAATATTAACTTTTGAAATGTGGGCTTTGTGAAGCTCGATCTAGTGTATAGTGAGGCCAACACTGAAGCTTCTACTGATCTCAGTGAGATCTCAATTTTGCTAGCAGTACAGTATTATGACTTGGGGGTTAGAGCACCAGGCTGGCTTTAGTCATAGTTTTTGCTAATTTAGAGATGTTCTACCAGTGTTTGTTTAGCAGGAGAAAAAATAACTCTTGTTAAAGACTTTGTGTAGTATACAACCAGAGCTCAGTGTTACTTGGTATGTAAACAGCAGACATCATAAAATCAACTTCAGTAACGCCTACAAAATTATCAACATTGTAATTTATTTGAGCTGTATTTCCATGACGTCGTCTGGCTCCAAATGAAAATTTCAAATTTCTGGTTAAACCTGCTTTCCATTCATCTGGAAAACTAAAGAAAAAACATTTTATGAAGAGTTGCGCGCATATTTTGTGGAGAGTGTCTTGGAACAATTCATGACAGGTTAATGCCACGCCAGGACGTTTTCTCCCATTTAATTTTGGGAGCAATGTAGCATTTGGCAACTATAGTGATACAGTAAGTTGGCTTTTTCTTGCCTGCTGCTGCAGATCAGAATCAGAACATGATTTGTTCTGTCACTTGGAAAATCCAAATGATAAATGAACTTGTTGCAGACAAAAAGGCAAAAAAAATTTGTCTTTTTGCTTTTGAACATATCAAATATTCAGCCGTTGAAAATTGGAATAGCTTTGGTGAAGATTACTGGTAGCTTGCAGTGGCGATGGGATGCTATAGGACTAAACCCACACCTGTGGAAATTACCATCAGTTTGTGATTCATGCATTAGTATGAGTTGTGCAAACTCAGGACCAGAATCATAATCCCTCTGGTAGGGAGCTACAATGGAAATATTTCCACTATCTCCTTGAAATTGCCTTTGCATTCGTTTTGTCTGATTTGAATGTGATTGGGGAAAAGGATGAGAAGTGGCTATAAAAATCTGTTTGAAAAAATAATCATGCTTATTTTGTGCAATGGTTACTCTATTATCTTCAAAAGCACTGAAGTCTGTTACTGCATTTATAGCTCTAATAAGATTCTGTTTATGTATGTTTGGTAGTAATTAAAATGTTCTGAAGAATGAGCTAATGTTTCGTTTAGGAGGCCTTTAATAATTATTTTGGTTTTCTTGAAGGTCGGTGGTGGGGTGGTTCTGCACAGGACATTCCCTTATACATCATTCAGTCCTACTGACTCTCAAGCCGTGCAATTACTTTGGCAAGCCATTTTGCAATGTAGCACACTGTGCTGTCTTGTATATTCCCCCCCCCCCCCGCCCCCAGACGCTCTACATATTTTTTCTTTGTTTCCTTTTATTCATCCATGATGGTGTCTGTTTCCAAAAGTTTCTAAACAAATAAACTAGGCAAATGTAGCTTCAAGTTATATAGACGACTTCCTCTAGTCCTAATGATTTTGTGCTTCTCAAAGTTCTTTTTTGGTGGGTTTTTTGGACCTTTTTTCTGATGGAGATATGGTCTGGGATGCGTGTGTGTAATTCCATCACAACAGTGACTGAAGTGTAGTGTAGAAATGGCGAAGCTAATTTTAATTAGTTGATTTACATACTGGGAGCAATTAGCTGTTTTTACCTTCCACTTCCACCAGTACCCAATCCAGCAAATTTACTGCGCTGTGACTGTAGTAAAGCCATAAACAATCTGCATTTTAACAGATCTCTAGAGTTTTGCAAGGCAGTCCCTTTCCCATGCTGCCTTTAGCTCACAGATGTAATTTTTTTGGCAGCTGTATTGCATTTTAAACTCATTTCTAGTTTGCCATCCATTATTACCCCTTAAGCACCTTCTGAAAACGCTTCTGCTTCCCAGACTCTTTCCACTGACTGGGTTATTTTTTGTATATGCGTGAGCTTATTGGGGGTTTTTTGCAGTAGATTTTTTTAAAAAAAACATTTATTGGTAAAAGTGTGATTTTTTTATATTAAAAAGATACATCTTTATTGGAGGAGCTACAATTTCTTGGAGGGCCTGAGACTCACTTGGATCAATTTTCTCGCAAATTTTGTGATAATATACCTTAAAAAATGCGTCCTTTAGATGGTAAGTGATGAATGTTATCGCTCTCTTTTATGTTCTGTTCCAGGTATGAATGTTTCAAGTACAAGAACACAGTCAATTATCCACTGCTTTTCTTGTTAATAACATACAGCTTCGTAGTCAGCATAGTAAGTAACTTTTTTTCTAATACAGCATTTTCACCCGTAGGTTGACAGTTTTCCTACCATTGAAGGAACATTGTACAGGCAGTACTGAATCTCTCTCACTGCCAGTCAAGAAGGACAAATTATTCTTTTGTTGGGAAAATTATGTGCTGGCCAGAGAAACCTGAAACCTTTCTATCTAAACCACTGTATAGAATAAATGAAGAAGAAAAGCAGTAATCCAGTTGCTAGAATAGGAATGTGAGAAAAGCAGTCACCGTTGACTTGTTGTGTGACCTTGGACAAGCTGCACTCCTCATCTTCTGTCACTTTAATTCATCTACAGAAATTAGAATAATCCTGTTCAACAGACTACAGAAAGTGAGCTGTGATACACAGTCCAGGATATTGAGTGGTGCTTTAAAACAACAGCCAGAATAAGAAGGGAACTTAGCTGTTAAAAAAATTGAAGCATTTTCACTGTGTCATGGCTAACTTGATTCCCTTTCTCAGTGCAGTGTGCTCCCTTTATGAATAAAATGACTTTTGTGCTGGCTGTCAATGACAGATGGAATCTCCTTCATTATTCTTATTGATAACCATTTCTTAAAAAAAAGAAAAAAGTAGTATTATAGGTCATCTTCTGCCTTCAAAATACTTGCCTGTTCTGTGCCTCTTAAATATTTTTACACTTGTGGCATGTTATGCCTAAGGTCTAGTGCCCTTCTCTCTTCAAAAGCAGAAATTAAATGAACTGCATTAACGATAGGAAGAACTACTAGCTTTTTGTAAAATGAACTGAAATGTTAAAGCATTGTCAAAAACATTATTAGCAAATCAAACTAGAGTACATTTTCTTCTTGCAATGCATATCGAGAATGTGTCTGGTAATTTCTGCATCTTAATTGAGTTTGTGTGTGTTGCAACTCTATGAAATGAGGAGATTTTAGATGTTAATGTCTCTATTTGTGCTTCTTAATGTAAAATGATTCCACAGTTAAAACCTCAGGTTTTGCCAGAGGAAACTTCAAATGTTAATTCAACTTTAATGGTGCATGGATAGGCACTCGTGTCTTGATTCTAACAGAACAAGTCTTGGCAGTATTTGGATGTTATGATCATTCTCTGTTGCAAATTATTTCTCTTTTTTTTAATCTTTCCAGGTTTACTTAAATTTGAAAGAGCCTGTGTTCCATCAGGTAAGTCTTGCTTTGTTGCAGAAGCTAATCTTGTTTTTAAACGATGCTGGTTTAGTGGAATGTTTTACAGGATTTTTTAGCCGGAAGGAAGGTGGAAGGCAAGCACAATTTGCCTTTTGCTTTTTCTTTAAGCAGTATTGCTGCCTATCATGTTGCCATCCTCTTACCTGGTGACCTGAAAAACTAGAATGGTTTAATGTGTGTTGTGGTTTTAGCATTTGACGTAATATTTCACGTGGTTTTCATCAGCGGCAAGTGTAAGGAGGTGACCCTCGCTATGGACTAAGGTGTGTGTGAGAGGGAGGGTTCAATGAGTCCTTGTCCGCTTCTTTCCATTAGCAGCAGCTGTGAAACTATGACCTGACATCGTAACGTGGCGTGGGTGACTTAGCACCATGTTCTTCTCTCCACTTTAACCTATTAGTTTGGGTTTTTTTAACTACTCAATTTTACTTTGTGTAAATTCAAGCTGAATTTAAACACAGAATGTCTTCTAGGGTTATGTAGCAGACTGGTTCTTATGGTCTTAATGGCATATTTGGTACACATGCCTTTTGTAGCAGCCCAAGAGTGTTAATATACATCTACTGCCTGTGGGGATAGGACTTGTATCACTTGCCTCTTCACAGGAGGTTAGAAATTGTGCTCATTTATGTATGCCATGAGTAGTTTTCCCTCATTTATGAGTTTTTTGATTAGGGAAAACAGCTGAAAAATTGCCAAGCAAAAGCACTGAGCTCTTTGCAGGACAGAGCTTTAAAGCCTTAACTTCTGAAATTGGTAGTGCCATCGCTTGTCAAAATGTGCCTGCTGCATCAGCAGTTGTAAAAACGATACGTGATTCCTGTTGGTGGATTAGTGAAGCACTGATGAATAAAATAAATTCCCAGCTGCTCAAATAATCTCTCCTAGAAACATGAATTGTTACTCTACCTATAGATAAGAAGAGAAACTTGCAGGGGGTTTTTGATAATGTTAATTAAATCCTTTCTTTTTTTCCCCTACTTACATTTCTGGCAGGAAGATGCTGGCTGGGGTGAAAGCGGCAATTTCTGATGCTTTTACTGAGCTGGTTATAACTGGTTTTGAATGAAGTGACTTGAAGTAATTTTGTTAACAACAGTGGCGGAATTTACTCCTGATACTGGACTTATATTTCTTTAATCAATTATCTACTCAACCTACATTTATTGCAATAAATATATCACAGCTTCACTGTATTCCAGTTCGATGCATTGACATAGGTATTGTCCCCTGTCACAGATATTAAGACGATAGATATTATGACTTGTCCAGAAAGACGGAAATAGGGAAACTTCAAACTGTTGCCCCAGACCTTTAATTTTTTGCATCTGGTTTCTCTTAGGTTCAGAATATGAATTCCCTGTTATGATTTATAAATGAGGAATCAATGTAGAAAAGATTTAGGCCCATAAAAGTGGTGGACTTTTTACAACAACTCTTTCCAAATTGATTTTTATGGAGAACATACAGTTATGGCCAAATCCCAAACGTTCAAGTACTGCACTCATTTTTTGCACAGTCTTTGCCAAATACGTTGTAAATCCAGAGGAAACGTTTCTCCGACTGCACAGCTAAGCAAGGTTATTTTCTTAATACTTGTCCTTTATTTTAGAGTGCACCAAAAAAAAAATACATAATTTCAGTAAGTATTTTCCAACTGATTGGGTCGCATAGACTTGAAGTAAAGTTAAATATGCTCATGCAATCATAGTTTAGATCATAGTCTCGGTCCTTAGCTGTATTGGAAAGCAGCATCAGGGCGTAAAGCAGCGTTTGATTCCTCTAGGTATTTGTCTGTGATCATCATCATTTGTCAGCCTTGCAGAAAGGGGAATAACTACACGCACAGCTTTATATTGTTCATTGTTTCAGTGTGGTTTTTTCCCTAAAAGGAGAGCAATAAGAATGGAAAAGGATCCTATTGTATTTAGGAGCCAGGATCCTAAATTTTTCAGTGAAGCCTCATTTTTCAGTGAATTACTTTCTACTTTCCTTCCCAACTTAAGCTCATAAATTGCTTACTGCCAGCAGGGCATGAAGGGGATTTCAGTTTGTTATTCATGGCACAGTGGCAACAGAGACCAACTTCTTTTTCTCCATCCACATATTGCAGGTCTTTAAGGGTCTTAGTGCTTTAACCATAGGAGGGATGAGATGCGCGTTTTGGTCAGTTGGAGGCTACACATCATTAGAAGCAAAAAACCACTTCCCTGCCTGACAACTGATCTGGTATTTTTTGCAGTTTCATCAATTAAATGAAAGATAGCAGTGGCCTTTACAAGCATGTGTTGTCTTGTTTATGTCAAAATCTCTCAGGCTAGAGCACTATTATTACCTAATTTCCATGGTGCTAAACAAGCCTACGTCCCAGTTTCCTAGGTGGTTTTAAGCCAGCATCATTGTCAAAGAAAACAGTTATGCCTCTCCCCTCTTTCCCATCTGGCACACAAATTTACTCCCTGATGTGAGTTTGACTGGGGAACTGAACAGGTTAAAACTCTCCTCAGAAATAGTTTTAAGTCACATTACTTGCTCATCCCTGTTAACCGCGTGTATATTTGTGCTTATAAAGGAAAGGCGTAGGGGAAGACTGGCTGCTGGTGTGGAGTGATCCATAGACAGACAAATATAAGACGGCACTGGAAATAGAAGAAATTACCATGGCAGTTAAATTTTTAGGCTCAGGTCTTACAAGTAGCCTTCTATCTAATATGCTATGGCCTAGAAAGCTGTCACCTACAAAACATAGTTTCCCATCCTGATGTGTTTACTTGCTACATACCATATGCTGGCTATACACTTGTAGTGATCGAAAACCTCATTCAGCTAGCAGGCCAAGTTATGCGAATAACGAAATAGATCTAAAAACCTGTTTTATTTGCATAGTCATCTGCTGCAAGGGTTTGAAGCAAATTTTGAGCAAACAAATAATTAAAAGGTAAATAGAAAATGAGATTAAATGTTCAGGCTAACCGGATAGCGTTTTTTTGGTAGCTGTTTCTTCTACATTAGGAAATGTGATTTTAGAAAATGCCTTTTGTATAGACATTCCAGAAGCGTTGTTATGGTGTCCCATGAGAAACTAAGCAAGCTGGAGAAGTAGATCAGTATGAGAATTGCAAATAGGGTAAGGGAGTGACTAGTGGCAAATGACTAAAGGAGGTGATGAAAGGCAAGTCTCAGCCTGGACTTTCTTGGGATCAGTAGTGGGACTGGTTTTATTTAATGACCTGTAGCGGGAAAAACAGTCTTGTGTACTGATGATATTTGTGATGATACAAAGTTCGGAGGCATCACTGGGTAGAGAGGAGGAGCTGAAGAGATAACTGGGAGACCTTGAGGACTAGGATGACAAATGATTCAAAATGGAAGAGCATGCACTGATGGGCAAATACCAACTGTTCTTGTTCTAAACTGCACACAGATTACCAAAGGAGGGAGGGAGGGAGTGCCTGGATGTGTTCGCTGATCGCAGCATAATAATATGACCAGTGAATTTTCTGCAACAGTGATAGAAGTAAAATACAAGTATTGGATTTACCAGTTAAGGTGACTTTGGGTAAGAGGGAGAGAGCGAGCGTGGGAGAAAAAGGTATTTCATTTGCCTCAATGAAAAAAATTAATAAAATTGTTCTCAATGGGTGTTTTAAATATGCAAATACAAAGAAGGAAGTGAAATCACTATGAAACGTGTATGTAGAAGTACATATGAGAGCCTGAAACCGCATGAAGAATATGTTGTGGCAGGGTACAACCTGTTCAAACTTACAGGACTCCCCATTTTGGGGAATCTGTGTGGACCCACTCGATGTCCTGCAGCTCTCCAAAGTCCCTCCTGCTGCTAAGACAACAGTTAGTTGTAGGCTTGTGGCTTAATATATTGTGCCTCTTAGTGGAACGTGTTGTCTTACTTTCTACATGTTCAGGTTGCCAAGCAGTCTGTTAAAAATGACCTTTTCAGTGCGTGTCTTCACCACAGAGCTTTTTCTACTTGGGCATTGTCCTGCTGAAGACCACGTGTAAAACTAACTTGAGTGACATTTCACTCTGTTACACAGCTTGTTTGGAGATGTCCTCCAGAAAGCGAGTACAGCTTTCATTCTGGCTAGTACCTCTAACCTGCACAATAGCTTAGGGAACGTGGAAGGACGTTCAGACTCTCCAAAGGATCAGCTCTACAAGTCATTGAAGGGGAAGCTCAGTTTACTGCTGCAGACAGTGTCCCTGATCCTCTGGAGAGCTGCTCTGTGCCATGCAGCAGCAGTGACTTGTGTGTCGCTTTGCCATCACGTATGTGCATCTAAACAAGACCAATCCAAGTGAATCTGAGTTAGTTCATTTAGGAGCTGTCAGGACGGCACGTAGAACTAAACAGCCGTAACTATGCAGAGTTACTTGGTGTTGCAGTATCATTGTGGGGATTGTCTTTCCTTTTTCTCTCTGCTCAGATTTCTTCTCCAGAAATCCAAGAACGTGTAGAACTCTGTTTTCTTTGTTGTAAATGGCAAATACAGTTTCCAGCTTCAGGTCCTCAGGCTAACTATTTTTTGATAGCTGGTTGGTATATTAATAGATAAGCAGTGGTCACCAACAACACAAAATCTCTCAGTGCAGTTCCCAATGTGTACGCTAATATTTGAGGCTGATAAATTGACTTTATTAACCAAGGATGGGCAGAAGCCAGGAGCAGAGGAAGCAGAATTAGAAATAGCAGGCTATTGCCGCTTTCTGTACCAGAAGGGTAGATGAAGAACTAGTTTTGTATGCTCCCCCCAGTGTGGAGTACCAACCTTGCCTCTGACTTGCATAAGAAGTGAGTCTATGATGTGATTTGCTTAACTGCCTCCACATCAAAAATGCTACCAAACACTGAGCCGTGAAATGCTTACTTCCCATTTGTGAATTAAAAGGATGTTCTTCATATTTGTCCTTCTTATCAGGTAATCCACTGTGTATTAATAAGACTTTGGGTTTTTCCCCATTGCAAAGATACAGGCTTCAAAGCTGAAATAAATGCAGCTTTATTTGCATCATAAACAGCAGAGAGGGAACTGTCTAGTGATAACAGAAGATGATGAGATTCTGCTGTTTCCTTTTGTTTCAGTCGTAGTGCAAGGGTGTTCTTTGGCTTGCGATTTAAAGGCACTGTGAGACAAAATCGCACAAAACTTGCTTGGGTTTTCATCTGTCACTTAAGTGATGTGTAAGTTAAAGAAGAACAAAGGGAGCTAAAGGAATTGAAAAATTTGAGTCAACTTGAATAAGGTAGATTTTTTTTTTTTTTTAAATTTTATACTTCATCCTTCTTTGGATGGACGGATAATACCTAACAAATTTTTGGCATGATGAAAATAGTAAGTCCATGGGTGGTAAAGGAGTAAAAGTAAGCGCTGCTCCCTGAAGTATAAACTAAGTTGTGTAGCTGGGTTTATAGGCCTCTAGTAAGAAACAGCTGTAGTGAGATGTGCCGCTACAGTCTCTGCATATCACAGCAACACCTCCTCGATGCTTGCCTTCAGCGTGAAGAGGAGGATCGGAGCATTCAGAGCAGAACAGTTTGTTGTTCCAGTCTTTCACAGGCTTTTAAACACGAATGTGTTTTACTGCTAAGAGCCTGTTTGTGTGGGGGAGCGGAAAAGGCAAGAAATTGAAGTGTCAACTGTGGGCATATTTTTCTTCAGTCACTGCAAGGGGTTTTTTTTATTTTTTTCCTTCCTCCCTCCATTAAGACTGTCCTCTTCTGCAAGCCATTAAGCAAGTCACTAGGAGATACCAAGCCGGAGGCTCTACAAAGAAAGCTTTTCTTAGCTTTTGCTCTTTCCTGCTTTTAGCAGCTGCTGCAAAAATAGCGTTTTTAGCCTGTGTTTTACCTGGGCTTTGGGCTGCCTATAAGCCATATTTCTCTAGGCGTAGTCTGATGCTGTTTAACTCCTTTTACAAAGAACCCCAGAGCAAATCGGATAAAACCGTGAAGGTGGTCACACCCCTCACGAGTATGATAGAAATTTCTCTTCAGGGGTAGGTTTTTCCTGTGTCTCTGCTGCAGAAGAGCATTTTAGCAATGGAAATTGTAGGAAGGAGGAGATCGGCAAGGAAAGGGCATCAAACTGCAGTTTGGGTTCCAGAGGAGCCTTTCTATGAATTTCTTCCTCTGTGCCATCCCTCTCAGAATAAGTTACTGCATTTGATTAGGAAAACGAAACAGGCTGTTTTAAATGAGACTGATGAAGTAAAATGGCATTTAACTTTTAAATTTAGTCTGTATTTGTTATACGGTGGGGTCTTTTTAGGCAAAAAAGTGATGATGAATTGTACCAGCATGCAGCACCTAGCACACCTGAGCAGTCCCCTTTCTATCTTTAGCTTGGGACTGATAAGCACTTGATACTCGGGCTGTGTCTAGCGGGTTTTGTTGGTGGGTTTTTTTTCCTGATTTATGTGCTGTGCCCCAGCAAGGGGACTGGAATTAGCTAACAGTTTTGTATAAAGTAAAAGCCAGAACCAATTAGCCTTTCAAATAGCTTTGCTTTGTTTAGCTCTACAGAGCAGAACAAACAGTAGTAGTAGTTTAGTTACTGAAGTTATTTGATCTCGCTCTGAATGCAAATAAAGAGCTGCTGTGCTGAATGACTTTGCATAGTCAATATTGGAGCTTACTTTTACCTGTTGTCAAACATAAGGCCTCTGTTGTCTGTCTTGTTCTCTATATATGCACTGATAATACGGTGTGTGCTACTAACCTCATCCTTAAAGCTAAAAGGAGTTTGACAATTTGCCTTTATGGACTTTTGAAAGGTAGGTTTCACTTTGCGTTATTACAGCAATGTATTTTATGTCAGATGACTAGACACGTGCACGTGCTTGCAGGATGGTAATCGCTGAATGGCCCGGTTACAGCAGAGTCAGAGGTAGTCCTTGCCTTGAAGGCAATGTAGTCTAAAAGAAGGAAAGGTATGAGGAGGTCAGTAGAACATGGTGAGGACACTGGTTTGAAAACACGCCTCTCTGAGGTTTAGTGGCTTTTAAAAATAGGCAGCAAAGGTTTATCATTTTTCTGTTTCATGTAAAACAAGGCAGCATTAGATAGGAGTTAACTAAAAGCAAAATGAGAAAGGAAACTCAGTGAACAGGAAAGCGAAAAATAGCGAGGGGCTTGTGGGCCACTGGAGAGAGGCAAAGAGCAAGGCACAACTGCTTGGAACAAACTGCCTTTCGGCAGGAGGAGAACGGTGTTCAGAATAAAAAGCGTGGAGAGTGAGTTAATGTTACCAGTGTCTGAAAATCCTCCCTGCTGCAGTGGCTTCTGCGTCACTTTTCAGGCACAACTGACCACATTTCTTCTCTTCTTCAGTCTGTACGTCTTTGGAGATGGTGTTATGTGGATCCTAAGCTTGTGAATAAAAAAGGGAGAGTGATTTAAAGATCACGAGGCGGAAAATAAATGATTACTTTGACTTTTTTTTATAAGCCAGGCGATGACATTCAAATTCATTAAGCCTACAGTGAGCCAGATTTTGTTCACGGATCTTTTCAGAGTGTGCAGCCTTCCCACTGTATAATTAGATTGGATCCCAACAATCTGTAATAGTTGGTTTTAAATGCTTCCTGGAAAGTTTCTTCCATACTGGTGCTCAGTGTGGGCATAGTGCATAGTCTATTCAGGTGTTTGCTTTCAGGAAAAAATATTAATCAAATACCAGTGGAGGAAGTATAGCTTTCAAAAACAGTTTTAGCTGATGCTTATGCAATCCTGGGCTAAAATGCACAGGTGCGGAAAGGAAGATAGGCGTTAGTTACCATTTTGATTTCAGGATGCTTACTGAGTGCCATCTAGTGTTTGCTTTCTAATTCAAAAAAAGTGAAACACTGGTTTTACACAACTGACTTTTCCTGTAGTTGCATAAAGGGCATGGTTTTAATCATACTTTTATTTGAAACTTTTATGGAAGACTTTCTGGAGAGGAAGTTAGAGGGGATACTATTTTCCTGAGACTAAGAAATAAAAATCAACAGAGGCTTCATTCAGATTTTTTTTACTCCCTGTAGTGTCTTATGAAGTCTCTTGAATCCAACTGCTGAATTTTATCTCTGTTTTTATTTCCAGATCATGTATGGAACGCTAGTTTCCATTATAGTTCTACGATCTGTTTATATAGTATTATGGTAAGTAACCGTTTAGTTCAGCATTATAAGATATAACTTAGCATTTGCATCTGTTTTTGGGGGGCTTAACATGAGAAATTGGCAATGGCAACATTTCTTTAACTAGGTACGTAATGCTAGCTCATGTGCTCTGCTTGGGTGAAAGGGAATGGCTCATCTCCTTGCATTTTTTTTGAAGCCAGTGGGATAATGTTAAACAAAACTGAGATCTCTACACTTATGATCAGTGTTCACTGCCAGGTGTTCTGCTGGTGGCTTCAGCTGTTAGCCTGGGACTTCAAGGGGAATGGAGTTTCTGTCTTCATATTGCTGGGTAACATATGAAATCTACTGCCAGTGTCCAAAATCTAATGATGATACTTGGAGAGAGGTGAGAGTAAGACTGCAGAGTTGAACCGTTGGTTAATATTTTCCTTTCCTCTTCCCTACTCAAGTATCTAAAATTCAAACGTAAAAGATAATAACACAGAAAGTTAAATGGTAGTTTTCCTTACAGTTTTGACTGGGTAAAGTTAGGTATACATTATGGAAATTGAAATAAAAACTATTTATAACAAACAAAAGGGTATTACACGTGTTAGGAGACATTGAGAAGCGTTAGAATCATCAGAGCACAGAATTGGTGGGTAAAAGTGAAGAAAAAGGAATTGAATCAGTGTTGGAGTAAACACATACCTTTAGCTCTCAGGGGCTCGGTTGCCCCTTCCTGCCTCTCCCCTGTGAATAGTTGGTGTTCTCATGTGTTTGGGGACTGCCCCTGAAAATTACTGATTTCCCTCTACTGTCTTCATTCTAAATGTGCTTTTTGTTAAACTTTGTTTCGAGTTACACACGTATCTGTTCAGGAACACAAGGAAGAATTTAACAAAAGGTGTGAATTTAAAGTAGATTCGTTGAATCACCTTCCAATTGCCGTTTCAGTTAATTTGGTTTGACTTTCCCCAAGAAGTCCCCACAGACTTTTTTTAAGCAAGAAGAACTTAACTGATAGAGTGTCGCTTGCAGCTTTAGAAACAATCATCAGTTTAAAGGCACTTTTCAAAGCCATGAACATGGAAATTTTAATCCTAACCTAGAGATCTTAAGTGATACTACCTTAATTCACTTCCAAGGGAAACTAAGTCGAATCAAGTTCAGGTCATTTTAATTTTGTTCTTATGCAAGGATTTAGCACAGTTCTAGTCACTTAGATTAAATTTCTGTCTGCCTGTGTAGACAAACTCTTGGGCCTGCTCTTTTTCCAGTTCTGCAAATTCCACACGCTTGTGCATTCTCATTATTTCTGAAGCATTTCGTTGTCTTCTGTCACTATCAATAACACCACCGTCTTCCCTCCCAGGGTATCATTCATGGTTTTCCTCCAGCAGAGTCTGTCTCTGAAGTTCCACCTACTTTTTCGTTTCAAGTTTAGGGGATTGGAGTGTATTTTCTTAATTAGCTAGATCACTTCATTGCAATGTGGCCCTACAAAGACTTGCTTCCCCTTCGGTTATATTATGCAAACTGAAGTTGGGATGCAGAGAGAAGTAGGTCCAAACTACTTCTAAATTTTGACTAAACTACTACTAATTTTAAATTAGTTCTGCTAGAGAAGCTGTGCCAACCTGAAGGTACCCTTTCTTTTCTCTAAAAGTCGTCCCCAAGTATATTTTTGGATTTACTTCCTCTGCGTTGCTAAAACATATCTTTCCATTGATAGTGCTAGCACTTGCCCAAGCCTGTTTCGACTTACATATCGACCCCGATTTCTGCTTATTTTGTTTCTTACTCCCTTAATATAGATTAGCTTCCTATCACTCATATTTCTTAGTGCGGGGCTTCGAGTCGCTCTGAGCTTAGAGTAAAAATCTCGAAGAACAGCATGTTATTCCTTCCAGGGTGCTACCTCCTCCTGTCCTCATCACTTTTTGCTGTTCCTGCCTGTTTCCCCCACACTTTTCATCTCTTTCTTGGGTCTGTTTCCTTCCCAAGATCACAGCTTGGCAAATGTTGTTCTCCGCTCACAAACTTGTTCCCCATTAATAAGTCATGCCAGCCTCTCTCTCATTCCTTCACAAAACACCACCATTTATTCCCTGAACAATTCTAGCTATAATTACCTAATTACCACCATGTATAACATACCATTTAGTGCTGTGTCATGTCCTGGGCTTGCTAATGCCTCTAGAGCACTGAGTCGGGAATATTACAGTGTAGTCTCTGCCATGTACCGCGTGGTGCTCCGTGCATTTATTAGACTAAACAAATAATAATTTTGCTAGTTTCTATTGGCAGTACACTTGTGAATATGTACGACTTGTATCTGGTTAAGCTTGCCCTGTGGAAGAAGCTCTACCTGTCGTGTTTTGCACATTTTGGTTGCCAGTGCTCACAGCTCTGAAACACGCGCTGTGTATAACACAGTGGAGAAAAAGCAGCTCAGGAACGCGTTTTAACGCAGAATCTAAACCGTGCATTCATAATGCTTAAAAATAACTTGAACGGTATTTCGTGGCAGCCTTTTAGGGTTGGAATTGGGTTTGCTTTTGGATTTGTCTTATTAGTGGGAAAGGAGCAAATGCTACCAGCTTCCACGTAGGAAGTTCACGATTCCATGGTCCAACCTGGATGTGAGGATAAATTTATTAATGATGCACTTTATTGCATCTGATTCTTCAGTGTGTTTCCCATATCCTAAAGAGGATTTTTTTTTTCCTCCCAAAATGAAATTGATATTTTTCCATCCCCAATAGTACTCGACGATAAAATACAACATGAAATTACTGTTTTCTAAAACCATTCATTTGGTTAGTTGTTGGTCATAGCGGTCTACATTCACAAAAGACTACAGTTATTTTGAAAGACATTATTTAACAAGTCCCCTAGTGTAGGGATATCATGTATTGGAAAAGAGCCTCTTCTTTTGGGAGAGTCCTAATTTGTAACATGGCTTTTTTTAACTGAAAGATTGTACATGGGACTGAGGAATTAGTACCTTTTAGCCAACTTCAGTTTTCCCACTTACTTGTTGCGTTAGGAGAGAGCAGTATTTAGGGGAACAATTAGAAATACAGAAGTAAAACATTTAAAAGATGAGTCTCAGAGAATGTGAATTCAGGAGAGAGGGGAGGAGGTAAAATACGATACTTAAATAGATGAGATTTGAAGTCGATGTTTTTCCTTTTGGGAAAAAAAATTAATAAAGCAGTTTATTTGTATGTAATAGTATTTATGTATGTTATAGAAAAGCTGCCTTTAAAGAATCTTGAACTAAACTTTGCGTTATTTCTCTTTCTCTCTGTCTCTCTAGGGTATACCCATGGCTTAGAGGTCTAGGCTATACATCTTTAACTGTATTTTTAATGGGATTTTTTCTCTGGAATGTGGACAACATTTTCTGTGATAAATTGAGGTGAGTTCTTTCACTTTGTCCGGATAGCTCTTAATAGTCTTTTAGCATAAAGCTTTCTTTTTTCTGTGGTGTATATTCAAGGCCATGTCATGGTATGTATGGTGCGCTGCCTACAAAACATTCACAAGGGTTTTATCCAGTTTGCTCGTGACTAGATTCAGCACTCAACAGTTTTTTAACTCTTTTTATGCATGAATAGATTTTTTTTTTTTAATAATTGCTATTTCTTTTTAACTTCAATTTAAATTGAAATAAAGTAATGTCACTGAAGTAATTTTGAGGCTCTGTGGCTTACTAAAGCCTGCTATTCACAGTTGATTTCATCTGAATGAGTTTTTTATCCTGCTTTTTTTGGTTTCTGCTTTTGCCGTTTCCCAGGAAAATATGAAAAGCAGTAGTTCTGCGGGTTAAAGAAATACCTATTGCAATATATCTGTCACCAATAAACGACAGCTGTTTGAGCGTCTCAGAAAGAACGGTAACTCTGTGAGCCAATACACCGTGCTTGGCTGTCATTATCAGCCTGAAGTCTTCTGGCTTAGGACTTGTAGAGGAGGCCAGGAAAGGCTTCCTCTCTGTTTAGCGTATTGCCAAATGGGGTAATAAAGGCTTCCAGACAAAGCTTCTAGGAACCCACCATCTCGTCGTATGGCTAGATATCCTGTCCGTGCAAGATAAAACACCAGTCCAACAGGTTGTTCTCTTAATGCGTCTTCCTCTGGAACAGGACAACTGCACCTTTCTCTCGCTTAGTTGTGATGCTTGTGTTCCGCCACAAGCTGGAGAAGATGGAAAGGCTGATGCCAGCATCCAGAAAATCCATCCTTGACTATCTGATATACTGTTACGCCGCTGAATCTGTGACGTAGAGAATTGCCCTAGTAGGTTGCTTTGTCAGGGTCGGATCAGAGTGCTGTAAAGAAGTCTAGTGTTTTCCAGCTGTCCCTTTTGGCTCTGTAATCCTTGCGCTAGGTTAGGCCAACTGAAAGTTAACTCCAACAGAGTTTTCTTGAAACTTTTTTTTTAAAATATAGATGTACTGAATATAACACACAGTGCCTCATCCTTAGAAACACTTGATACAGATGGCATAGAACAGTTACTTGCCAACACAAGTGGGTGGGTATACAGTGACTTTGCAAATATTGGCATCAGGGTTGATTTTTGCAGCTGCATCGCATCACTGGTGAGATCATAACCCCCAATTCACTAAGCCTGCTGAGCTGCTGCAGGTCCGTGGGGCTTTTGAACTTGTTCCTAGACTCAAAGATTACACCAGCTGCTGAAGCACTTTTTTCCATCCTCATTTTGCAAAGGGAAAAAAAAGCATATTTCCTGTAATACTTGTTTGGTTATGGTGCTGGAAAAAAATAAATATGCTTGTTTACTAGCTTTAATCAGATGTCTGCAGAGCCTTGAATTTCTCCAGGTGGTATTATAACTCGAACCTTTGGAGAAAATATATTCCAGTTCTTTGTAATTTTTTATTCTCTAAAGATCTAACTTGTGAATCATCCACCTACCTGCTCTTTTTGGTTTTAATGTTCAAAATTGTATTTTGGTTCAGTTTTTGTTTTTCCATATTTCATTAAATTTGGAGCTTATTTAAAAAAAAAAAAAACCACAGAAAAACATCTCTAGCACAAATCTTTGGAGAAAATATATTCCAGTTCTTTGTAATTTTTTATTCTCTAAAGATCTAACTTGTGAATCATCCACCTACCTGCTCTTTTTGGTTTTAATGTTCAAAATTGTATTTTGGTTCAGTTTTTGTTTTTCCATATTTCATTAAATTTGGAGCTTATTTAAAAAAAAAAAAAACCACAGAAAAACATCTCTAGCACTCAGCTTCCCTGGTTGGATCCATGCACTTTTGAACTTGAGCTTTGAGATTTCCTGCCATCCAAAGGCTCAGAGGCTGTGCCGGGGTGACAGTCTGTGTGTTCCACTCTGTCATTCCCAGGCTGACTGAATCAAAGCTCTGTGTTCATATTTGTGACTGAGCAGCTCTGGAAACTAAGCAATAGCTCAGGGATTAGTGTTTAGTCAGGGGGACTGAACACTATAACATCAAGCAGTGAATAAGTATTACAGAAGCTGCAGAAGCTACAGATTTTTTTTCCTTAACACCTGCGATCATTGTTTTCCCTTTTTTCTTTTGACTGAATGTGAAATAAAAGTCAAAAAAGACGACAGGCAGGTGCAAACATTTGCTCCACCATCAACCAAAATAGGCATTATCTGCAGAAGCCTAGTGAGCAGGAGAAATCAGGGCGATGTAGTTCCTTCCTTTTCTTTCTCTATCTCCATCCCTTAGCCTCTTCCCAAGTAGCTCACACCCCATAACTGTGCAACATACAAAGCATGTTGGCGGAGTATTTCAGACCCTCTACTTTCATTGCTTCCTCACTAAACACCCATTTTGTCCCCATTTTAGAGTACGACAGAGAAAGGCAAGCTAAGCTTCCGTGGAGCTGGAGAATAGGTGGTGTGATTGCCAAACGTAAAGTGGTGATGTCTGATGGATCCCATTTCCTCTCTCAGACCTTAAACTCAGCTTTTCATCCTATGGACAGTAGTTCACCGGGTTTTGGGGAGGAGAATGGTAGAACTCATTTGGGACTGTGGGATGCCATAAATACATTACCTGAAATTTGAGTCCAGAAGTAACTGATCACTCATTGTATGAAGATGCGTGTGCTTTCTTTAAATGTGCAAGAAAGCCAGTTTGCTAATATCTTTCTATACTGGCAGCATAAGGTGTAACTGCTGTTCCTCACCTGCTGAAAGCCGGACTACGTGAAGCCTCACTCGTGAAGCACGTGCCTGAGATACGGAAACAGTGATGTGTGATCTGACAATCAAGCACTGTGATTTGAGATTGCTTAGCTTGGAAAAAAAAAAACATTGCATGGTGTTTCTTTCTTACAGAGCACTACGAGAGAAGATGCCTCCTGTTGTGGGAGCTGTGACACAGTTTCATGCGTGGTGGCATATTCTCACAGGCCTGGGCTCTTACCTTCATATCCTCCTAAGGTAGGAAATGTTTTCTAAACTGGGTGTTTATAAAGCAGTCTTAGGAGTTTTCCCAGGTTCAGATTTACTTCAAAATGTTGTGTCAGCCAGAAGAGCAGGAAAATGGCGTCTTACTAAACTGGTGGGAGTTTTTCTTTCCTCTTTGCAACTGGTCTAAAAACTCTGTAAAAGTAATTTATACTCTTCAAAATGTAATCATTAATCTTTAAATAGTCATGGTTCTTCAGGAAAATGCAATTCAGAAATGGGAACCCTGTAGCAGTTAAACTGCAAAACTATTTGACAGTATATTAATTTCAGAGTATAAGCTATTAATACTTTTCTGTTCTTGAGCAGCAATCCTGAAGTACTTAAACATCTTTAATTTTAGAAGCATAACTAATCTTTTTGATAGGCACTGTCGCTCCTGAAAACTAGCAGGCATCATGCAGTAGAGCAGAAGGGTGACGGCTGAAGTGGTTGGAGCAGAGCTGTTCCCAGAAGTGCAGGATATTAGTTGTAGAAGGAGATTTAAATGAGAGCCTAAATTAGGAAGTCTGCAGCCAGCAGATTTTTGTCTCTGTTTTTGCTCTATACCACCATCTAGTGGAACCAGGAACAAAAATAGAATTTAAGCTGGAATCTGAAGAATTTCTGTAGCTTATTCATTATGTAATGAAATGTTTTACCACGTAACCGTAAGAGAATCTGTTTAACAGATACATTCTGTGTAGCTGAGAAAACCTGATTACATATCAATTTTTCTACATCTAACACAGTATTCTCCTTTTTTGTCAGATGTTAAAATAGCTAGTAAAAGGAAAATGCAAGGAAAATAAGTACATTTCCAGTAGCTATTCTGATAGCTTTTTTATACATACAACTGTGGATGGATGTGTTTCTATACGTACCTGTGTATATATATGTGTATATATAAATGTCATGGTATGTGGAAAACAGCTGCTCCATTTTAGCTGACAGGTTGTCTGCTGCCCTAAACAGCTTGAGATAATCTTTTGAAGAAGATTCCTTACAGAAAGCAAGCTGATGCAGAGAGTTCAGATAGCGTAGGCAAGGTTTTTCCACCATGCTGCACAGAGAAAATAATTGGGTTTGCATCCTCTAGCCCTTTGGGAATGTGCAGATGCCTGATTTGTCTGTCCTACCCCAAGGAACTACATGCTTTCCCTGCGGTAGTTTCCCTGGTATTTTCTCAGCCACACAGTGGCATCACCTATGTCCACTTAAAAAAGTGAGGTTATAGACAGGAAAAGATCTACTGAGGGGAGAGGGTGTATAAGAACATAAATGAGATACAGAATCAAGCTATGCTGCTCCCCCCACACCCCTTAAACATCTGCTATATTTTTTGATATAATGATTTAATGTCATCCTTCCAAAATGACAGGCTCTAGTCCCTGTTTAGTCTTTTCCATAGTGGAGAGAGAATTTACTTCTCTGGGTTTCTCTCTTTCTCCCCACATAGGTGATAGGGTAGATTAGTTTGCTAATCACAGTCTAGCCCAGAGGGATTTACTGTAGGCTAATGTCTCCTATTTTGCGTAAATCTAGGCAGAATGGGTAGCTCTGCAATCACAGAAGCAATTCTTTTCTAGTTGGAAAATAAAACTGGGATTAGTACATCATTATTATTTTATATGCTGTCTTATACATGAAATTTTAAGCACACTTTTCTCCTTTTCTTCAGTTTATACACAAGGACTCTTTTCCTGAAACACAGGCCAAAGGTGAAGGTAAGCGAGCAGTATTTTGTGTCCATTAATGCACTGCAGCATTTGCACATCTTGTGCTTCGAACTTGCATTGGGGCTCACTGATTATGCCTGTTAGGGTATTATCTTTGATTTCTACTTACATCCCAAGAAATGCGGTTGAAATGATGGTTAACAGTGTTTGGTTTCTGTTCCAAGAGACATAATATTCCAAGAATTCTTTCCCCTCTTCCTATTTTTCTTTTAACAGTTTATTTTTGGAATATGGCCTGTTCTTCTTGTGGAGCCGCCCAAGAAGCTTTGACTGAGACCTAGGCAGTCACATGCGATCACCTAGCCTGGCTGAATAAAGCGATTCAACAGTTACTATGGCTGAAGTGTCAAAATTATGGATCAATTCAAGTATCGTTGCTATAAAAGGACTTCTCTGTGTTACCAGGCCAGCCGGCTGGAACAGAGCAAAGAGTTGGCACACTAGGGAAATAATGTTTAGTACAGCTTTATTCTAAGTTGTTAAAACAAAGATTAAGACACAATATTTTTATGTATATATTGTATAGCTGATGATACTGAGCTAATATTTCGTGCTGGTCACAGAAAACTAACCATTTTTGAAGTGGATTGCATACATTTTTCATTCAGTTGTTGTTCTTTTTGTGGTTTAAACTAATATTAGTAACTGAATGACAAAAACAGGCCATTGATGGCCAAGCTAAGCATTTGTGTGGCCTATAGTGAACTGAATGCTTAACCTGAACTACTTTAATCTTGCACTTTTATACAATTAATGAAGTATGTAATGATTGATTTAGGGCTTTATTCTATCCTGCTTTTCCACAGCCTCCTTTGCAATTTATATTTTAAGCAAAACAGTTGGGATATCCGTGCCATTTAGTTCATTTTGTACCAAGCTTCCATTTTCTCTTTAGTCCAACTGAGGTACATCGTGGAGGATGTTCCAGGGTGTGACCGTCAGAAGACACTTAAGATGGTGAAGCATTATAGGGGTGCTTGTTTGTGTGTGGAAACTGAATTCCTAATTTGTTTGACCAGTGACCCATCATGAGACTGCAGGATGACTGTATAAACACAAGAAACACTTTTTTTCTTTTTTTATAATTATTATTTACATGCCTCCCTTTTCTATACCTACTTTTTACTCCCCGTGTCCCATTCATACTACAGATTGACAAACACTTTAGATGTGTGCTAGTTCAGCTTTGAATTTCTCTTTCCCTTATTTTACAAGTCTTAAATATCGGTCTGACTTTCAGAAGCATCTTCTTATTCAGAAATATTGAAGAAAGAGTAAAGAACAAGATTGATGTTGAAGATACCCCAAAATACAATCGGCAGCACTTTGATTGCTTGCTCTTAATCTGTCCATCACATGGTTACTCCGTGGAAAGTTGACCACCTTTTTAAAACCAAACTTTGGGGATTAATGTGGGGGGACAAACCCTCTGGTTTCTGCAATTTTTATCGACCCAGCTGATGAAAGTTAATAAGTAAGCATAAAGAAAACATTGAACTAACACAGTTTTTCAAAATATACCTCATATTGGAGGCTGTGGTTTTGACTCTTCAGATCTTGGGGCAACTAACGGAGTCTGTCTCTGGGCCTCCTAGCTGCCATGCTATGCAATTTTTGTCTGCTTTTGATGCTCTGAGGGATTTATCCTTCTTGCCATGAGGGAAAAAAGGGAAATGCTCAGACTGATTGGAAATGCCATTCTGTATTGATTTAAAATGTGCCCACAGCAGCAAGGCACAGTAATGTAGCTATAAAGCTGTCTCCCAGATCACAAAGTCCTGGTTAGTGTAAGCTTCCTTGCTCCAACTGCTGAAAAAGCGGGACTGAAATCTGTATTGTACAATCAACGCTGACTAAAATGGTCTCCTCCCTTTAATATCTTCTTTCTTTTTTCCTGTTTGCAGCTTAGCTGCATCCTCGGTGGCCATCAGTAGCACTCCTCCTGATGTGAATCTCCAAATAAAATCGTGGCTTTTGTTATGTGACTGACCCTGGGCTCTTGGGATCAAATAGACCCAAACTCAGGGCTAGAAAAAGATACTTAACCTTGGGTGACTTCGGTGAGGTTTAAGCACGTGCTGATAGCAGTGCATTTCAACCCGTAATTGGCAAGCCACTGCAAAGATTCTTGAATGAAAATTTTAAAACAGATTTGTTGTCGGTAGGCTCCGGTTCCATAGACAAGGTCAGCATCTGTGTTGGGAAATTTGTGTCATCTTCAGACTGAAAGATGTTGGAATAACTAGCATAGAAGTAGGAAAATGCTGGCTTGGATCAGGTGTCTTTAATTATCCAGAAGGCATATTTTTTGTAAAGAGATTTGAGAACTGTTTTAAAAATGTAGCTTAAAAATAAGTGCCTGCCTATTGACCTCCAGGCTCTCTCAAGCATGCCTCTGTACACTGTATCCGATTTTTTTATTAGTATGTTTACATGTTTTCATAACTTAGGGAAAGAGTCCCCTAATAGGAGCAGTGCACCAACGAGACTTGTCACAGTCACTTGTGACATCTGCTAGGTGTGGTATTGTTTTTAAGAAAACGAACAAAACCTTTATTTTAGTGGCCTTAGTTTTGTTACTGGAGGATCTGGGGGCTCTGTTTGGTTTCCCTGTAATTGCAGGAACCAGAGTGTGCTGAAAAGCCACTTTCTTACTGATAAGGCATCTCTACAATGGTAAATTTAAAAGAAATGTGTTGGTTCTCCTACACAATTGCAACCAGGAAGTGTGTGTTTCTTTTCAGATCTTGTTGAATTAAATTGTCAGGATTTAAAAAAAGAAGTTGGAAAAGCTCTTGTTTTAATTTTACGCTGCTGCTAGCTTTTCGTTCACATATCATTTGTCACTGATGTTTTTATCTTTTAAAAAATTACGCAAATTGGCTTCTTCCTTCATTCCAAATGACCAAAAACTTGCACACCTCTACCACCCTTCCAGCAGCCTTTCTTTCAGGTTATGTTAGACCCTGAAGAATGTAATTTACGTGTGTATCCTTCTGAGCATAAATCATGTAAAATTATGGGTGCTTTGGTTTCACTGCCTTACTGATCTTGTGAGTGATATTGAAAATGGCAAGCCAGTTTTAACTGCACGTCACTGAAATTTAGCCTGCCTTTTCTAGTGCCTGGAAGGACATACATCCTTACTCCTGTAATGTGTTAACTGTTAAAGTGCTTGCTTTTTATTTATATCACTTGTATGACATGCTGATTTTTTTTCTACAAACCTTAGAGCAGCATATCCCAAACTTTTCTTGCACTACATCTTTTAAGGTGGGTCATCTTTGATCCTATTTTTGGAGTAGGATTCAGACAGCAGCTACTTTAAAGGGAATTAGGGAAGTAGCAGGTGTCGTTTAATATGAATCCTACAGGATGTGTTGGGCAGACTTGATAGCGATGAACTCTTATTCTTTAACATCCATGAAGAACCAGGAAATCTGCCACCTTACGACCATCGGCTTGGCACAGATCAGCAGCAAGTAGTTCTGCAGACCATGAGCTGAAAAATTCTTCCTTGGAAATAAAAGAAAAACCTCAGAATTACTCTCCCAGTACAGATCAACACCATAGCTTATGGCAGGAATCTAGATTTTCTGGATATAGCTCAAGACGTGCATTATCCAGAACTGAAGATAGGACATGATAAACAAAAATCTGCCATCAGGACGAATCTCATCCATGTTTTGAAGGCAGTGTTGTTAGCTAGCAGTATTAGTCATCTCCGGACTTCATTTTAATGCTTTTTCTTTTAGCACGAGGGAGATGTGCTACCCGCGAGTGTTTAGAAGACTACCCCATAGTCAGAATTGGAGTACGCAGCCTATCACTTGCCGATCTACCTCTGTCATGTATTGTACAATACCTGTGCCCTTAATTATGTCTGCCTGAATGTGCAGACGTTAGAGCAGCCTGACTTAGACCGTGCAGCCCCTGAGGTTGGCAACAGTATTGTATTGATCCGTGGCTGACTCTGTTCGCTCTCCGTAAACATAGAATCATCCTGGCTTGTTCGGTGTCTGTCACTTTTAGGTTGTGCTCAGTCTGCTGAGTTCCTCTGCGTGCAGGAGTCTGGCTGCTTTAGAGAGAGATACGAGTAGGAGGACTTTAATTCAGACAGGCGAAGTGAAACCTTTTTGGCAGTTAAGTTACATTTAAAGCTAAGATGCAAACAGTATAACTTGTTTTACATGATTTTGGAAGAGATGTGATGGAAAATACTGTTTTATAATTAGCTTTAATTCTCTTCTGATCTAATATTTGGCTGAAGGGAAACTGTATGATTTGAAATGCAGTTGATTCTTTTGGCTGTAGTGCATTTGCTTCCAACACCTGGTTTCAAACAGCTGAATGAGTTTTTCAGCTAACTCCTCCATGTCAAACTCTTGGCAACAGAAAATGCTCCCAGTATCACGAGTGTTTCTCACAGTCACTACCACCTTGTTCAGTTTGCATTCAAGAATTTTGGTAATACCGTCTTTTTTAAACCTGTTTCTCTCTGTGGATATATTTTTGGCATTTGATAGCAGGTGGTGAAACAATTCAATACAACGCTTCTCCGTGGAAGACGAGCTCTAACGAAGCAGCACTGCTGTTTTCTTCAGTAGACCTCAGAATCCAGGAACACACCTTAATTTTGGCAGAACGTGTGCCCCATAATTTAAATTTACATATTCAGATAGAACGGTTTACTTTAAAGAAATCCCATCTGCACTTTATAAGCAGGCGGTGGGAGGCTTTAACTGCAAAGTACTGTTTAACTGTGAGACTTTAGTATGAAGAGGGATAAATTATGGAGTCTGTATTGCCCATGAGAAGCGAAAGCCAGGAGGAGATGAAGAAATCTTCGTGGAAAGAGAATATCAAAAGATTAAGCACAGAATCCCGTAGTATTACGTCAACCACCCTCCTGATAAACTGCACTTTAGATACTTACATAACAAGCTTGAATGTTTTGCTATTTATACATTTAACTTTCCGTGCTGACTCTTCACTTTTTAAGTGGTGTAGACTCTGTTACATTCGGTTCATTGTAGATGATTCAGCTGGTTTTTTTATGAGGATGGAACGTGACACGGATTGTTTCGTACATGAATGAACACTTTTCTTACGCACCCGGAACGTCCTCTGCCAGCTTTGTCGGAGACTCCGCAACGTAACTACAGAGAATATATTGTATAACTGTTAAGATTGGTTTCGGGTTTCTTTGTTCAGTTTCTCGCTCACGACTGCCTACGGCTGCCAAGTGCCTGGTCTCTTTGTCGCAAGTCTTTTCCGAGAGCTGAGGCTGTGTTTTCTCCTGGGGTCCATAAGACAAGGTCCTTGGTAGGTAGGAGGTCGGTTTGGTTTCTGTTAAAAATTCTCCTACTGCAGGAGTCGCAGCACTTTTTTCAGTCGCTTTCCAGAAACGTGGTTATCCAGCACGTGGCTGCCTCTGCTTGGCTCAGACTTGTGCCTGACTACCCCACGTCCCTGATGCTGTTGCATCTTTTCAGATTTTGAAAACTGGTTGAGGGATTTAGCCCCACAGCTGGTGTTTATTTTAGTGTGTGTAGTTCCATGACGGGCGGTGTGAGGGCGCAGCAGTCAAGCAAGCACTTTATGCAGAGCCCCATTACTGGAGCTCCCAGCCAGATGCTCCAAACAGGACTGGGGATATGGGGCTTCGCATGTACAATTCTGGGGACAAGGTTGATGCCTGAACCTCTTACTTTATTTCAGAACTCTCCCTTTTTACTTGTTGAAAGTGTTTCGATTTGATCAAGCATGTAATTGCAGATTTAAGAACCACCAAGCTCAGAATCCAGCTAATGCAAGACCCTAAACCAGTGCCTGCAAATTTTTTTTGCACATATTTCACACAAGCTGAATCTGCCTGATGTTTAGAGCAGATTGTTGAGATTTTACAAACGCAAAGATAAAGGGTCTTTCGATTATTTGTCCCTCATCACCGCAACACATGAATAGCTGTAAGCACAATCTCAGATTCTTCTTTCCTCAAAACCATGGAACATATATATATGTTCCTCCAAAGCCAATGTTGAATAGAGATGGGCTTTCACACATGCTTATAGCAAATCGTGTACCAAAATGTTTTCTAAATTAAAGCCTCAGTCAGTCGCTGCAGAAGAATTTTGGTTGTGTATACTATTGCTCCTTGGATTTTGGAAGAGAGGGTTTCAAGCAGCATAAACGGTAGTTACTCCTTAGGCTGAACAGGAACCGATTTTTCTCTTGATCTTCCAAATTGATGTTGACTATTTGATGTTGACTATTGAACTCAGCTTAATGCACTGATGATGTTTACTGTCTTAGCAAATAACATCTGTCCACCTGTAACGGACATGAAATACTCCGCGCGTTACGTGACCAAACTTTCTAACATTGACACTATTAGTTCTAACATAATGGTTTTTTCCTGAAATTCAGTGTATTGCTGCAGATAGATAACGACACTGTGACAGATGAATAGCAGTTGACCTGTAAAACGCAGCTGCATTGAGCAATGTTTATTGACAGTTTTGTTACACTGAGCTGATTCTCCGTACCAAACCAGCTGGTAACTAACATTAGGCTTATATGTATCAGCATACCTTGCTTTGCAAAGCACAGTAGCTTTGAAATATTTAATGTATTTCATTTGTTATTCATGCTGCAGTCAAGCACTAATTTGTGTCTTTATAGTTCAGATTATTAAAGAATTTTGTTTTAAATACAACTTTTCCCAGGTGTTTCCTGGCTTTTGTGTTGCACGGGGCTGGCCGGTTCACCTTGATGCTGTTCAGTAGATGCGTGGTTGTATGTCCCGGCTGGTGGGTGCACAAGTTAGAACAGCAGGATCTGTATGACCTGCAGTGATGGGGAAGCTGCCTGCCCGCAGCTACTACGGTCTGAGCCCCTGTGGTAGCAGCACAAAGCTTGGTCATCTTGGCTTCTTGCCTGCAGCCGCCCAGCAAACACAGAAACGTTTTAAAATGAAGGGAGATGTGATTGCGTTCATTTTGAACTCCAGTGCAGGGCTCTGGGGCTCCCCAATCTTTACTACCCTGCGCTTGGGACCCTTTGAGCACCGGGCCTCGCTCGGAGGTGTAGTGCTGACTGCAAATAGCGCGGGATCTTCTCACCTTCAAAGGCCTTCCCCGGCGCACACCAGTTAGAAGGGAACTCAGGTGCCTGGCATGGGGTGGGAGAGGAAAAGGCAGGAGTCAGGAGAGCGTGCCATCAGCTTGGAGCGCGCGGTTTGCACGTCCTTTGCCTCACCCTTTTCCTGTTTCTTTCAGTGAGAGAGGAGGATAATCTCTGCAAAGCAGAACCTCTCCAGGCAGAAATCATGGACCGGGAGGCACTTACCCAGCAAATCTCATCACACCCCAGCAGCCAGGGTCAGGTAGTGACCATCGGGTATTTCCCCTGCTTCTGGCACATCTCCCAGGTCCTATTCAGAGACCCCGTTTTCTCCTGCTCATGTCCGTTGCAGCTGTGTCTCCGCAGGGACAACCTTGAACTAAATATTCGGGGGCCAAACCACAGGGCAGGAAACCTCGTAGCCAGTGGTGTAAATATCTGGGGGAACCAGTGCCGCTTCCCCTCGGTGCTTGCTCGGTGGGGCTGCACACAGAGGCACATCCAAACTCCGCAGACAAGCACTGCCTGA